TTTTTTTTTTTTTTTTTTGCAAATGTTATCCTTTAAGATCCTTGATCAACTTACAATCTGAAAAGATAACCGGCACTCATACTGCTTCAGCACATCTATATGATCCGTGCAGCTGTATGTAGAAGTTGCCTACACTTTGTGTATTATTAGCAGATCATCCTTTGGTACTGATTTAAAATAGTAACTACACATCAAAGGTAATTAAAACTGGAACATTTGTGTCTAGAATTTTGCCTTTCATAAAGCTGCCAAGCAGCCACGGTTTGGGTAAGTGAAGAAATAATATTCTGGCCATCAAGTCTAACAGAACAAATCTGACCTTTGTTCCCTGAAAGCTTAGGCTCATAGGAGATAATGCTATAGTCACTGACTAAGTGATGGCATGATTAATGCAAGACCCGGCACTGACTTTTTCCTAGTGAAACAGTCTCATTACCTTAAAATATAAAACACTATTTAGAGTTGGGAAAATGGATGTTAATATTCAGATTATTTTTGGAGAATGTTTGGTGGCAAAGGAGGTAGAGGTGTGTGTGTGTGTGTTCTTGTATACATGCATACACACACAGAGAGAAATGCAAAATCTCTATCCTGAGATAAAGATATAGATAGAAAACACTTGAAAAATTTTGGTTACAGCCTGCTAAAAAGAAAAGGAGGCCACATGCTCTGACCTCCTCTCACCCCACAAGAGGAAGACAGTATCAGTATCAGTAACCCAAGGCCTTTTACTGCAAAACCAGACATGCTGCCTCCCTCCAGCCCTTTCACCGACCATTCCTCCCAAAGCACCCACCACCTCCCTCCTGGATTCAATAATTCACTGCAGTGGCCACACAGAACTCACAGATTACAGGGTTTATTAGCGAAGCACCAGGCTACAATTCAAGTTCAGGAAAAAAGCTCAGTCTCTTTCCCAGCTCACAGTCTCTCTCCTAACAGTCTCTCACAGTCTCTCTCCCAACAGTGAGTGTCCCTCAGTGGCTCACTTAGCAATGTTTGTCTCTTGTGTCTTTCCCAGCAGTGCTTGTCTCTTTCAGCATCACATCTTCCTCAACCAGCAGTCGGAGAGAGACTTCTTCTGCCTCTAGGAGGCCTCCTTTTGAGCCTGGCAGAGTGGCTAAACTAACCAATCATAGCATCAGAATTCTAAGCACCTGAGAGACAGCAGGAACCTCCCAGAACATTGCTTTGTGTTGCACTCAACAGAAATACCCCAGGTGGATAACTTTTACAATTAGGAGCTCCTCAGTTGCTCACAGCAAATTCCACCAAGGAGTTTACAAAGACTTATGGCTAGAAAAACCATACCAGGTAATTTACTACACTGCACAGCCATAAACTTTAAACTTTTTGAATTTTACTTAATCTTTAGTAATATTTTACTTAACGTATGTCAGAGCTATATAAAGAAATTATGATACATAGTAGTAATATCTACCCAAATTATTTTTAAATTCTATTCAAAACAAAAAAACATATATTACATAAACATCTTTTCTCTATTTCACAAGTACCTGTGTATGACGTGTGTATACACACAAAAAATATTGAAAAACACCAAACTCACTGCCATCGAGTCAGATCCGACTCATAGCAACCCCTCCTTGGGTTTCTGAGGCAGTATCACTACAAAAGTAGATTGCCCA